TTTAAGGATAATTTTCGATATTAAATTACTTGCTAAGTTTTTTGGACTTTTAGATAATACGAAATTAAGCTGATACCATCCTTTAAGTGAGCAATGTGGAGGTGCTATAACTTTCCTCACGCAAAATTAAGAATCAATAAAAAAAAATTAGGAAAAAGAATAAAACAAAAAACAAAAAAAATTAAAATTTTTTTTAATTTTTTTTATATTTTGAGTTTAAATAATTAAGATTTTCTTTTGGGAATTCTATGTTGGAGAAAAAAGTTGGAAAAAAGTACAATTACAAAAGTCCATGTGCTTTGAAATTAATTGTAACCCAATATTTAGTAGTTACTTTTTACTTGTCTTTTATTTTTGAATTCTAATTATCTTTGTATTTTATCGTAATTGTCCATTTATTTATTTGTTTGTTTATTTATTTGATTATTTATGTATTTATTTGGAAATATTTTTTTAAAAAAAAGGAAAAAAAACTTTTTAAATAAAATAGAAAAAACCTTACCAACATATTGAAGGGTTCAAATTTTCTTAAAACAAAAGATTTAAGAAGATAAAAGCATATAATGGTAATTTACTTAAAAGAGAAAATGTCATGAAAATGCATCATATTTGCCCTTTTTATTAAAATGGTAAAAAAATAAAATAAAACCCTAATACATAAAAGAAATCTTAGCATTATTATAAAAGAAATCTTGAAATAACAAGCAGCTCCAGACAACTCCAACTATCTTTATCATTGTTAAAATTATGCCCCCGTATGGTCAAGCAAAATATTTTTACCAATATTCCACTCATCTGGCTTATCAAAACTCATCAAGCATGCTCTATTCAAATGCACCTTGTGCTTGAAAGTAAGGCAAGTATATATAGAATAGTCGACGTTCCCATTGTGATAATCACAAGTGACATTAGCATCATACCATTTTGAATAAGGTAACCTTAATGGTTCTAGAATAACTGAAGACATCAAGTCGTTCTTGACCAATTCTAGGAATAGTTCAAATAGGTTATAAGGATAGGATCAATGCAAGCTCTCTCTTGGTCGTTCATAGATCTTCTCAAACCACTCGCTTAGTTATTAGGCTTTGAAGCTGGTGTAGTGATAGGTTAGACTCATATGTAGGTGTTTGAAAGGTTGGTTGGTAAGTGAATGGGTAAACTAGATGTGGCATAGGTCGATAAAGGGCTTACGCATACTATTAATTATGAGGTGGTAAACAAGATGAATAAATAGTGGATATTGAGTATAACTTTTGAACTGTTGCCTTTCAAAATTCACAGTTTAAGCTTCAACTTCTTTCTATTTAAGCATCCCTCCTTTCTTTGTATCGATGCTCTCTTTTTCCGTAAACTTACCACTCTTGATGACATTTTTAATAATCTCTCCTGAAATCATCATATTAGCAAAGTTGTTCATTACATTTCCTATCATCTTCTCATAGTAAAATGCTTTCAGAGTGCTCACAAATAGTATTGTAGTTTATTTTTCAGTCAAAGGCGACTGAGCTTGAATAGGTATATCTTTCCACCTTTAGGCATATTTCTTGAATGACTCAATCGTTTTTTTCTCCATGCTCTACAAAAAGAGATGATCTAGAACTAAGTTTATGATATGCAGGTACAGAGTAATGAAGGCATTTGCCAATTCTCTCCATAAAGTAATATGAGCACTTCTAGTTAGACATACCATTTGACAACAAAACAAGTAAAGTTATCTTGAAACACATGCATCAAGAGCTTGTCATCATTGGTATAAGCAATCAAATTTCAACAATATATAATGACGTGTGTAATTGGACACTTAGTACTATTATACTTTTTAAACTTCAAGACTTTGAACTTTGGAGAAATCACAACATCCAAACCATGAAGCCATAAAAGTCAATTCCCTCAAAGATTCACAACCTCTCATTCAGTAGGTTCATTTTCTCTTTGATTTTTAAGTCCTTTGAACTTTCAACTGCCTTTAACTTCAAGTTTTCTTTCTTCTTTGGGTCATCTAGGTTAGGGACTACTTCACCTACTTTTTCAATGAAAAAAAGATTGTCAAAGCTTTGAAACTACCCCTAAATTGACACAGTAGGTATCTCAGGATAAGTACATCCAACAAAAAACTTAATTTTTTATGGATGAGTTCTTTGAGATGATTGTGCTTGATATGGGTTACACTCAAAAGGGCACAAGGGATCAACAATATCTTGTGATGGATAATCTTGTAGGCTGGCATCTTTCTCCACATCCTTCCCTTTATTCAACTTATTCAAAGCTTCTAGAATTTTATTCAACTCTCCCTTGAGTTCTTCTTAGGTTCTCTCTATCTTCTCAAAACAGTTTACACTCTTGTTCCATTCATCTGGTTCAGGCTCTAATGTTATACTGATGGTAAGTGGATTGAATTGGATTCTTGGACAATGAAATTATCTTTGAACCATAATATACCATAATTAGCATGCTTAAAGTTACTTAGTGTGTACGCGAAGAAGCTTTCCAAATTAACCTAACTTTTTAATAATCTTATATGCATGAATGAATGAATGAATGATTGCATTGAATGCTTTGACATAATAAATTATGATACATAAACACATGAATGTATGCACAAAAATGTATAAATGCATGTAATGATGTTTGTCACATTATGATGCATGGATGAATGCATATGTTAATGATGCTAGATTAAAATACAATATATTAGTGATGTACATTAAAATACAACACACAACATACAACTTAAAAATAAATAAGAGATAAATAAAGCTAAAAAAGGTCACTCATACGTCTTAACTAAGGTTACATTCTAATGATGGGTAAACATGGCTTAAACCTAAAGTTAGCTTCTTATGTTCTACTACATGTAGCTTGAGTTAATTCTAAAGATTCTCAAATTATTTCTTACATCATTCTCTATCACAGACTAGTAAAAAACTCTAATCATCGCCCATTGTAGGTTATAAGCAGGACAAGTTCAATTTTAATGAATATTTTGCTATCTCATGCGAAAACATGAAAACTCACAAAAATATAAGTACTTTATTCTCTCCTAAAAGACAAAACTCGAGTATAAAGTTCATGTTATGCATGTGCAAATGAATGATAAAATATTAAAAGCTTAAAAAAATCAAAAAGAAAAAAAAAATTTAGGAAAATCATTTGACTTAGATAACACAAATGCAGTTACTAACTTGACTTTTAGCGTCCCCAATAGAGTCGTCAAACTATCATAACGTATAGATCCATAGAACTATCACTAGATCTAACTTCAAAAAGTTACCACAAATTTTTTTATCTAAGATGTGATTGGCCACCTAAATGAATGTCTTTTTTTAAAGAGAAATTCAAAACTTAACTTAGGTGTTTTTAAAATATAGATTTATGTCTACGAAACCAAGACTAAATTTAAGAGTATGCTTACATGTGAAGAATGTTACAACACCTTCATAACACCCATCAAATGATGATACCACTTTGATTTCATATTATCAAAGTTTTTAAAATGTGTTTGTAATTTACCTAGTAAGTTTAATATTGAAATTTGTTCTTAAAATTACTTCAATTGTTTGATAGTAATTTAAAATAATTTTCTTACCTCAGGAGTATTCATGAAAATTCGTGTTTCACTCTGAAAAGGCTTCGTCGTTGAATTTATTAATGTTTTTTTTCAAGAAATTAATTTTGAAAACAATTAATAAAATATTATAATCATTTGATAAGATTTTATATCGATGCATATCCCACAATCATTTGATGAGATTGAAAAATTATTTTTTCAAAAATTTATTAAATGCTCAAATCATTTGGTGGAACTTAATTTCAAACTTTTAAACCCATGAAAATCTTCCAATAGTTTGGAAGCAATCATGAATTTATTATAAAATTTTATTTTAAATATACATAAAACAAGAAAGAGAAACAACTAAGTAACATAAATAGATATACATATAAAGAAGAAAAAATTAAAATTACCAAATAAATTGGGTGACAATTGATTCCAAAGCATGTGGGCCTTTGTAATTACGTTTACCCACTTCGATTTGCTAGTTGTTGGAACCAATTACGATTTGGTTTCTTATTGGATTGGATCCTCAAATTAGGTTAGTCTTTTTTTAGTTTCCCTGCTTCTTCACCACTTTATCTTCTTTTTTGTTTCTCTACAAAATAGCCTATGGCTTTACTAACGCCCCTCCCATATAGTGATTGCCTTTCTTTCTTGTTTAAACAAAAATCAAATAGAAACCTAAAGCATATATACGCAAAATCCTCAAAAATTTTACTCCTAAATTTTTTTGTTGAATGCTTCCTTTTTATGTTTCTTCTCAACTCATTTTCTCAAGACAGAACTCTCAAAAGAAAATCCTAATTAACTAAACCTAAAACACCAAAAAAAACTAAAATATTCTCAAATTTTTTCTTTTTTTTAACTCTATCTCTTGATTTTTCTAATTGATTCTTCATTAAAATCTTTTTATAGGCCTCTAATGTCAATTACAATAGAAAAAAAAGTTTTCTTGGTTTAAATCTCCTAATTAACTTTAACCTTAGATTTTTAATCCAAACCTACATTTCAAACCAATTTTCTTTTATAATCCTTTTTCAATTAGAACACTTTCAATTCAACAACTCAATTAGAATTAAACCCTCTTCAAGTTTTAGCAAAACAATTCTTTCTCTTTTGTTTAAATAATAATAATAATAACTCTAAACTAAACACAATACCAAAAATAAATTTTAAAAAAATTTAAAACTTAATCTTAAAATATAAATTGACCCGAAATTAAATGAAATGTCTACAATAACGATGTTTCTAAAATAGAAATATAATCTTTATCTAAAAGACAACATTTTTAAGATAAAAATGATATTTCTAAAATAAAAAACATAATTTTTCTTGAAAAGATATATTTTTTAAGATAAAAAATACAATTTTGTTGAAAATATAAAAATAAAATAAAATATCTTTATTTAATATTATTCCATATAAAATCTAAAATACATTTACTTAATAAGATCAATCTACATGTTTTCTTTACGTAAGAACAATTATGTTTGGATAGTAATTCGAATTATAAAATTAGTTGTTGAAAATATAAAAAATTATTTTTCAAAATTATTTAGTTTCAACAAAAAAAATATGTTATTCATGTGTCACATGTTATTCACATATTAGTATTATGAATATTTCATGTTATTTATGTGTTTTCAAAGTAATAAACTTGATTAAGTAATCTTACATTCCCATATTCAACAAAACTCAAAAATTACATATTGTTCTTCAATATCAATTTTAAATTTCTCTATTAGAATCTAAAAATTTGAGAATCAAACTTCCCTCTAAAAGTTTTTTATAAAAAAAACCTCTATTCACAATTTTTTTCTTTTTATATCCACATGCTAAATACGATTAAAGTTCAAACATATTTTAAAGAAAATTACTCGACACAACCGATTAAATAATATCAATATTTACATAATTAAATTTATAATCTTTACTAAAATGCATATCTGAAATGTTTTTACTTTTTCTGGAAATGCAAACCACTTTCCGAAAATCAAATCCAATAAATTAAGAACTTTCTAAATATGCATTTTCAAGAAAACTAAAACTTTCCAAATATGCATTTTTGTAAGGCAAATAAACAATACCGACTGATGTGTACTTGCAAATATTATCTACATATAAAACTTCGTTTTAGTAGGTTTATCTAATTATCCGAAAATACATAATTGGAATGTGTAGATTTTTTTCATGAAATTGCAAAAATATTAAATGTGTAACTGAGATTTAAAAATAATTTAAGCACAAAAAATTAATTCATTTTAGAGATAATTGTCTAAAAACTTTTATTTTATTTTTTACTTATAAAGAGTAAAGAGATTGTTGCATATAGAATTTTCCTTTTATTGGCTGAACTACCATTCCATATTTGAAGTTTCTATTTTCTGAATTACGTTTTAAAAGATTATTATGCATCCAAATGTATTCAATTGAAGGTAAAAAAAAAAAGTCGGCTCAATACTAGTCAAAATAATCTTAGTTGGGTCAACTTTAGTATTTAATTTATATAAAATTCTCTGCGAATGAATTACTTTTTGACATGTCTTATTAATTTTCTATGTTTGCAACTGTCTATCCATTGAGTTATTTGTAATTTTATATGGTGCTTACTTTATAAGCCTATTAAAACAAATTTCTAACCTGTTGATTAACCGCCTTCAAACAATTTACTTGCACAAGAACCAACAAATGGAATAAAATGAATATTACAGTAGGGAATTCATTCTAAAGTATAAAAAAAAGGATCAAAACATGTTATTCTGCACTTTTAATCCAGTTATCAAGCAAGCAAAATCCTGAACTCAATGCCAGAAGAAGAATACTGTTACCAAATTATATTTACATTTATGAGGTTAAAAGGAAAAATGAGAGGGAATCTTGTTGTGATTCTAACATATGCATTTTCTATATCTCTATGCTAGCTTATGTCAATTCAAACAAGCAACAGTGTGAAAACTTTATAAAAACATCTGACCTGCCTAAAGTTGCTTGATCTTTGCCGCTCACTCTCATTTATAGAGAAAAGTTGCCAAGTTAGAAGTTAAACATCATATACAGGTAAACGTTCTTCAATAGAAAGACGACAGATTGGGCATTTTCTACACTTCTCGCAGCAGGTCCTGCAATGCAAAAGAACTGATGAGCATAGCATCAAGAATTATATTAAAATGTTAAAATTAAGAGCAAAATGGATTGAACTTCATTTGGATACATGCTGAAATTGCAATCGCATCAAACCTGCAAAGAATACGATGCCTACAGGGGAGCAAAACCACACTAATCTCTCTCTCGAAGCAAACCCTACATAACACTTTCTCCTGTACACAAGAACACGCACAAGTCAGCTGCACAATAGAAGATATCTCATTCCAGCTTCATCAGGCTTACAATGCAGAACTTGACAATTAATGATACAACCATCAACAATATTGACAACATCAGCAACTTCCTACATCACCAACCTAACCAAGCAAAGTTAATAAGGATCATAGCTTCTTATCATCAAATTCCCAAAAAAAAATTATGATATCTTTAACATTAGAAGAGAGAGAGAGAGACCATGTAGCAACAAGAAAGTTTAAGAAAGGCGATTCAAGCATATGTACTTTTCAAAGTCAAGAACTTCCAAATACTGGTGAACATCTCAAATGATGGAATATGACTCGCATTTCACCGAATTCACTGCATTTGTACTATATGGTCACAGAAAGCACAAGACTAACTGAATGAATTTACTATTTCGCACTACATAGCAACGTTGGTAAAGTTGAAAAATTACATTTTGAAGTCTTTCAAACTCCTGCTGACTAAATTTTGTGATTTCTGTTTGCTCACCAAGAGCTGCCTGAAGCCTCCATACCTGAGATGAAACAAACCATATAAAATATATGCACAGGCAAGGCAGGGCCAGGATCATTAAAATTGGTGGAATTGCAAGTATATCACACTGACACAATGTCGAAAGCAAAACCATGATATCAAATGCAAGAGAAGAAAAACGTGCAAGAGAATGTTGTATAAACTACAAGTACAATTAAAGAGATGCAATAACCCAGTCAAAAGAGAAAGGAACGGTATAAGAACAATAATCACCTCCTCAGCTAGATCCCTTTTAGGCATTTTCTTAACTATCTCAGGTGGATAACCAGAGAAGGTGTTATACCTGCATAGAGCATTCAAATGAAAAAAGGTTAGTGTGGGAAAACACTTATTTACAGCTGGTTGTAATCTTGTAATCTGTATATTTATATTTGTATCTCTAGAATTAAGTATTTGTATCCCTAGAATTAAGGAAGATTTAGTTTCCTATTTTAACCCCTAGTTAGTTGTATATAAACCTAAGATTCTTGTATAATTGAAAAGTAGCAGTTTTTCAATATACATTCAATTTCCACAGTTAGGAAAAGAGGTAGTGAGGGAGCCCAAAGAATAATCCAAAAGACTGAATACTAAGAGTAAACTCAAAAAATTAATCAAAATCTATGATCAGTTAAAAATGGAAAAGGATTTATTGTCAACTAATACCACTAAGAGAAATTTTGCCAACTAATACCACTAAGAGAAATTTTTCCACGCCATGAAATTACATCTTCAGCACCATTCCCTCAGTCTATTCTTGAATTTTAGTTTCTTTAAACCAAAAGCATGTTTTGTGGCCTCCACTGCCCACAAAAATAAAAGAAAATCAAATAAATCTCAAGTGAATAACCTGTTCAGTTCCTTGCTTTGTGTCGCTCAATCAAGGTGCAAAACTCACTCAAACTAGAGTTGCCCAAAAAAGACAACAAAACCAGGAAGGCCAGTTTGGTTCAGGCTTTTTTTTGGTAATACCGTTAGGGATATCCCAAGGCTTTCCCTGGCCTAATCCCCTCCCTGGACGATCTTAGGAGTTCACTCCACCATATTAGCCTGGTATATTATTCAGGATTTTACTCCCAGACTGCTCCCCACAAGGTTCAAACCCAGATTGACACAGAAAGGGAGCTCCTCCCGATACTAACTGGACTAAAACCTTGTGGGTATTTTGGTTCAGTTTTTATTCAATAGGGTTCAACAATGTCAAAGAACCAAAGACTTTGATTTGACTTCGGCTAATGCTATTGAGAGCCAAATTAGTTCAAACGCAAAACTGAATTGAAAATATCACCAATCCAAATGCTTATTCTATGTTGACAAAATCTAAAATCCAAATAGGTAGCCACAGAAAAAGTAAAAGTCAAACACAAAAATTCTTTTTTATTTGATTTCAAGTTTTGTTTCAATAAAACCAAATTAGTCCAATTTAAAGAGAATTGAAGTTACTACTAACTTGAATTCTATACTTCAACTTTAATAAGATTTAAAAATGTTTTTCTTAAACTTGGCCCAGGAAAAAAAAAAGAACCATAACCTTAATAAGCAAACCGAGAAAGTTCAATTTTGTATAATATATTAATCTATTCAATATGGTTTTCAGTTTCTAAATTTGAACTAAACAATTCAGTCTTATTCAACATTTTCAAAAGCTCAAACTGAACCATATAAATACACTCCTAAGTCCTACCTGCCTATTTAAAAACTGTTAAAATGGGTTGATAAATGGATTACCCCTTTAAGAAGGCATAAATAGTTTGGATATGAGTTAACAAAAGTCTTAACCCAAATAAAGTCCATTTACCAATGGCGATGGGTAAATCTTTTGGTTAATGACATTCTAATTTGTATGGAACAAAATAAAATATTTATAAAAGATATCATGAACTATTCACCAGAGAAGTTACTCCATCTATCAAATTTCGGTTGTCCATCTTTCCTTTAAAAGAGTCTTTGAACACCTAAAAATCTTACATTTTTCTATGCTCCATATTTATTTTTTATGATATTTTTATTTTCTTTTGGCACTTAAAACAGTTCATATCAATATAATCACAATTCTTAAAATATTAACAAAAAGTTGAAGTCAAAGCTTTTTTTTCAAAATTTTCTTAATTACTACTATAGTCATGTCATTTTCACATACTACATCATGAAAGATAATTCACAATCTTTTGAGACACAACCTGGCACGCACAGCACTGAGAGATGTGGGGTGAGCAAAAAGAAAACCCTCATACAATTTGTGCATCTGTAAGAGGTAGAAAAGAAGCTAAAACAATACTAACCCAGAAGCCCCGTCATGGTAAAGTCGGGCCTGTTCCTCTCTACTGCCTTCATCAATTGACCACCAACCCAATAACCTGAATTTACGGACAGAATCAGTTGTGTCAATTCATGAACTGCACAATCTAGCCTAATAAAATTGTCAGCCTGTTTAGAAACCAAATAGTAAGTACCTAGAACCATGGTGCAAGAATCCGAAGCAATCATGGGCTCTTGATGAAAACCTGAAGTATAAGCCTGTGCTAGCTCCACTACGTAGTAGAAGTACAACTTTCTCTATTAACCTTGATGCAGCAAACAGCACACCAGCACCTTGCAGTAGGAAAAGAGGAGAGAACAAAATTGGAAGTGGTATATTTCTAGCACCAGCAGGTGTTCCCTGAAATTCGAAACAATCATAGATTTATTGATAACATATCCTAATCACAGCCAAGACCACCAATAATACAAGTACCTCCAAATGCATGCAGAGGAGGACTTGAAAACCAATTATAGGAAGTTTCATGATGTGACCACCAATATCTTGCAGGCCACAGATTGTATCTTGATGCTGATCTTCCTCTGCAGTAACTACTAAGCCACTGTTCCAGTCAAGATATCTGATAATTGTGGTAGATGGACCAGCTTCTCTTGCAGGGGAGTTTCTATGAATTACTGGATTAGACCACTTTGTACAGACAAGAAAAGCAAAGCTCTCAGCAATACTGCATGAAAAAATGTCTTAGCATTTATCTCCTTTTTCTAGTCACTCAAGCTTAAGCAGACTATCATAGCACTATTTCAGCTAAATAATACTCAAAAAACAAATCAATGAAATTAAAAGCAGCAAAGCTGTACCCAAAATTTATGAACAAGTCCCACCAGCCAAGAGCACCTACATCACCTGCAATATTTGTAGAGGAAAACCACAAACAGTAATCATGAAGAAGGAAATTTTACCAAAAGAGAAAGTTACATCAATCTATTTATGGCCTCAAAAAGTGCTGCAAACTCCAAACCAAGAATCTAGATAAAAAAAGGAACCAAAACACCAATGCATTTAGATAATCAAATTTTGGTGATTAAGAAGTGATGTCAATTCTGAACTACGATTTTGGGGAAATTAATGCACGCATGCATGTGCAAATATACATGTGCATGATAAGAGAGACGATGTACAAAAGAAGATATTAAAATATGACTCTGAAGTATACCAACCACAGACATACTCAAATATGCCTTTTCCCCAGGAAAACATGATGCACTACACAAATCCCTTTGTTTGGACCACTTTATTTAAACTTTAAATCAATAAATTATATTTCTATTTTCCTTTAGGATCTTTCTCCCCCCCCCCCCCCCCCCCCCCCCCCCCCTCACTCTCCCTTCTCTCTCGTAAAGACCATGACTTCACAGAAGTTTAGAAGATTAAAGAAACAGCAGTTGTTGCTAGACAAATGTCTCAATAAAATAACTACTGCAAATCAAAGATCAATATGCAAGGAAGAACACCATTCCATAAAGAGGGGCAGGCCTTATCATTTTATTGATATGATACAAAGCCAACTACACATTAATAGGATATTTAGGAATTGTGATTAGATAAAGAGGTCATGCTAAATGCTTGAACTATTACAGTAAATAAGACAACTAAAGGCCTTTCTTATACCACATTATTATGCCTTAACCTGCTTATGCACCAAAAAACAGATAATGATTTTAAGTGCAATGGAATTGGGGGTCAAACAAACCCAGAGGACAAGACATTAAAAATGTTAATAATAATAATATGGACATAATAACTCATAAGGTGATAACACAGCAAACTAGATCTACATGAAGATATCAAGATTAATAGCTTCTGATAGTGCAAAACACACAAATTTCCTTACAGGAGTCATTTGGCACTCGAGCAAGAATACACAAATAAGCATAACAAGAGTACAAATATTCAAGCTTCTGAAACCTCCAGGACTAAAATGTTCACGTTTTTGTTTCTCTTTTGTAGAAAGCTAAAAACTACACAGCAGTCATTAGGCACACATACTTCCCCAATCCATATACCTTTAAGTTATCAGAAAATGGTACCCAGTAATTTGTAACTTTGCCAATACAAGAGTGATATGTTCCTCTGGAATGATATAGATTACAGGATCTAGAACTAGAACATAAAGCTTATGGACAAAGATAATATGCCTCGTTAGTTTATGTGCAACACCTCATAATGTATTTAAGTTAAGGGGAGTAAAGAAATTACCACATAACTTAAGAAGGGTGAAGATTGTAGCAGCAACAAAGAAGACCATGGAAATTGCAACCCAGAAGTGCTACAAATCATAAACAGGAGCCTATCAACAGTCAATTTTATATCTACTTGACAGGCTTATATCCCAAATAAAAGAAAATATTCTATTACAAGAACCATGTTTCTCAAAAATGCTCAAGATGTGTTCCATGATACCTAGATATAACATGGTAGCCATACATCAAAATAATTATACATTTACTATTAACTCTTTTTTTTTTTTTGAATAAATGAAGAACAAAAGAAATAAAGGCACTAAGGGGTAACAGGTTCCAATCTTATCCGCTAATTCATACACTCGATTCATTAATATCCATTTTCACATTCCACTAAGTCCCTTGTATTCAGAGCCTTTATAGTTTTTCTCAATTGTCTACGTCAAATATTAATAAAAACAAGAAAACAAATAAAATATAAAAAAGAATAATTCTGCTATTTACTCCATTTTCCTCCATGAAAAAGCTTAAATCTGAATGCTATGCATGGGTTGAAAGTTCTTAAGGATCAAATCAAGCCCAAAGGATTAGATATTAGAAGAGAATCTTCATCTTCATCTTTTAATCTGAATCTCTTATAATAATTAATATGTAATTCGGCAAAAGAACACCATATAAACAGGACCACCAAATTGCCAAGTTCAGTAGAACTTACAGGGAGTGTCTCCCATATTGCTTCATCACTTATGCTTTCATCATCTCCTGGCATCAGAGCCCTGCACATTCTGAAGATGAAAATGACATCAATAACTATGATAATTGCTTAGAACATACAAAGAAATTTGAATTACAAGGGAACAAGGGAAGGACGGGAAAAAATGAGCTTAAATTTCAATCATTTAATGCTGAAGATAATTTACCCTAATACACATTTCTAGAATGCAGCTCTATAGTAAGAAACATAACAAAGGGAAGAAGAAACACAAATCTGATATCATATTGTGGGAAAACATTTAGTTACAAGTGGTTGTATTTTGTAATCTGTTGATTGTAATCTGTTGATTGTAATCTGTATATATCTGTATCCCTAAAATTGAGAATTTGTATCTCTAGAATTAAGGACAGAATATCAAGATAGACAATTCCTTGATTATAGGGATTAGATTTAGGAATATTTAGTTTCCTAGTTTACTCTCTAGTTAGTTGTATTTAAATCTATGGTGTTTGTATGATTCGCAACACAAGTTTTCAATATACTCTCATTTTTCCACATGGTATCAGAGCCTTAGACTTTTCTTGGGAAGAAAATTTCTCAGCCTTCATTGCTGAATTTTTATTTTTTTTAGGCCTTCATAGCCAAATTCTGTTAAGTCTGTCATACTTTTATTTTGTTCCTTTTTGGCCTTCATTGCCTATACTTGTTTCAGTCCTGAAAAAGGTAATCATGTCAGAAATAGCAGAATCTGCCGCTACTACTCGATTTGGAGAAGTAACAACTGGTCAAATCACAACGGAACTACAGAATATCCAAGCTGCATACAGGTTGAATCGAAAGAACTACTTGAAGTGGTCTCAGTTGGTTCAAACCTTTCTAAAAGGGAAAGGAAAATTGAGCCATCTTCTTGGCACTGGTCCTGAGAAAGGAGATCCAAAATTTGAGGCTTGGGATGAAGAGGATTCTATGGTTATGTCATGGCTGTGGAATTCTATGACGCCAGATATTAGTGACACTTGTATGTTTTTGTCCACGGCCAAAGACATTTGGGAATCAATTCGTCAAACCTATTCCAAAGTTAAAGATGCTGCTCAAGTCTATGAGGTCAAGATCAAGACTGCAGCTCTCAAACAAGGGAATAAGTCAGTCACAGAGTATGCTATTCTTCTTAAAAATCTTTGGCAAGAGATGGATCACTACCGGTGCATAGAAATGAAGTGCAGTGAAGATGCAACAACTTTGAAGAAATTTATTGAAAAAGATCGAGTCTATGATTTTCTTGCTGGACTGAATGTTGAGTTTGATCAAGTCAGAGTCCAAATTCTGGGAAAACAGGATCTGCCTTCTTTAAATGAAGTGATATCCATGGTTAGAGCAGAAGAGGAGTGATGCTTGACAGTGTGCATGTAGAAGGATCTGCTATGGTCTCTAATGGTGGGAAGAACCAAAGCTTAGAACAATTACCAGTCAGTGAGAATGGGAAAGGTGATTCGGCTAAAACTTCAAATCGCGACAATCTTTGGTGCACCTATTGCAAGAAGCCAAGGCACACCAGAGATTGTTGCTGGAAACTACATGGAAAACCTTCAACTTCAAGCAAAGAATGGGGTTATAAAGGAGGACAGCCAAGAAATCAAGGACAAGCTCACATGACTGCAATGGAGTTAAACCAGGAGAAGCCTCAGGAACAAGGAGAGTTGGATAAAAAAGAGATTGAGAAACTGAGAAGCCTATTGGGAACTTTTGAAAAGGCTACTGGTGTATGCTCCTTGGCACATTCAGGGAAGGACTCTGGTGCAGGTAAAGTCTCTAATTCTCATGGATTAAATGTCTCAGATAAGTCCATTAAGAGTTCTTGGGTCATTGACTCAGGAGCCACAGACCACATGACACATTCTTCACAAAAGTTTAGTACATATACCCTATGTCCTGGTACTAAGAAAATTACTGTTGCAGATGGTTCACTTACTACAGTGGCAGGATTAGGAGATATTCAAATTAATCCCTCATTCATTCTTAAAAATGTTCTTCATGTTCCTAGATTGTCTACTAATCTGATATCTATACAAAGACTTACTAGAGACATGAACTGCAATGTGACTTTTTATCCCTCTTACTGTGAATTTCAGGACCAGGGTTCGGGGAAGAGGATTGGACTTGCTAAGGAGAAGGATGGACTATACTATCTTGAGACATCCAACAACATAAGTAATATCAAGAATAGTTTACCTTTGTCATTTCTTTCTAAACAATCTTCCAATAAAGACAAAATCTGGCTTTATCATTTTCGTTTTGGACACCCTTTTTTTGGAACTTTGAAAAACATGTTTCCTTCTTTGTTCAAAGGATTAAACGTTGAAGAGTTTCATTGTGATGTTTGTGAACTTGCAAAACACAGACGTGTATCTTTTCCAATTAGTAACAAAAGAAGTTCTACTCCTTTTTACTTGATTCATAGTGACATTTGGGGTCCCTCTACAGTACCTAATATTTCTGGGGCAAGATGGTTTGTGTCATTCATAGATGATTGTACCAGGGTTTCTTGGGTTTTTTTACTTAATTCCAAATCAGAGGTGAATAGTGTGTTTTTTAGCTTCCAAAACATGATCCAAAATCAATTTGGAGTGAGAATCAAGAGATTTAGGTCTAATAATGCAAGAGACTATTTCAACCAGAGTCTATCCACCTATTTCCAAAATGAGGGGATTATCCATGAGTCATCTTGTGTTAATACTCCACAGCAAAATGGAGTGACAGAGAGAAAAAACAGCCATTTACTAGCCACAACCCGAGCCTTCCTTTTTCAAGCAAATGTGCCCAAATCTTACTGGGGGGAAGCTATTCTCACTGCTACACACATTATAAATAGGTTACCTTCAAGGGTTTTAGGATTTAAAACTCCTATGGAACTACTCTCACAATTCTATCCCAACCTTAATACCACAAACAACCTCACACCTAGGATATTCGGTTGTACATCATTTGTTCATGTTCACAATCATAATAGGGGAAAGTTGGATCCGAGAGCAATTAGGTGTATTTTTGTGGGGTATTCATCAACTCAGAAAGGGTATAAGTGCTATCATCCTCCTACCAAAAAGTTCTATGTGTCTACAGATGTCACTTTTAAAGAAAGTAAACCATTTTTTACTCAACCTTATCTTCAGGGGGAGACATCATTTATAGAAGATAAGGATAAAGACTTCTTTTTTCTTGACTTGTCATCCTCCTCCAAAACAGTTTCAGCCATTAATTCTTTTGAGCCTAAACCCATTTCTTCAGAGTCCAAGTCAAACACTGATTCTAAATCTGAACCCATTCCAAACATAGAAGTTGTGACTAAGGATAATACTATTCTTGATTCTGTGAAAGAATTACAAGTTTACTCAAGAAAGAAAGTTCCAGTTCCTGAACCAGTGCAAATCCAAGAACTTGATCCTAACTCTGAAAATGAGGTAATTACAGTCTCTGATTCTATTTCTCAAAATGAGCATGACTCTCCTAAAATTAGTAATTATGATCTACCTATTGCCATTAGGAAAGGAACTAGAGAATGTACTAAACATTCATTATACCCAATCTCTAATTTTGTGTCATTTGAAAAGTTTTCACCATCCCATAAGAATTTTCTTGTGAGCCTAAATACTATTTCTATTCCAACTACATTATCTGAGGCATTATCTAATGAGAAATGGAGGCAGGCGATGAAAATAGGAATGGAGGCCTTAGAGAAAAATAAGACATGGGAACTGGTAGAGTTGCTTGCAGGAAAACATCCAGTTGGGTGTAAATGGGTTTTCACTGTAAAGTATAAGGCAGATGGTACTATTGAAAAATACAAGGCCAGGCTGGTGGCTAAGGGCTACACTCAAACTTATGGAGTGGATTATCAGGAAACTTTTGCTCCAATTGCCAAGATGAATACAGTTAGGATTTTATTGTCCTTGGCAGCAAATTACAATTGGCAGCTTCAACAATTTGATGTAAAGAATGCCTTTTTACATGGTGATTTGGAAGAAAAAATATATATGAAAGTTCCACCGGGTTTTGAGGGTCATCTAGAAGTAAAAAAGGTATGCAAGCTGAAAAAGGCTTTATATGGCCTTAAACAGTCTCCTAGGGCCTGGTTCGGGAGATTTGCCAAAATGATGCTAGGAATGGAATATAAACAGAGTCAAGAGGATCACATACTGTTTATCAAGCACTCAGATTCAGGGAAGGTCACAGTTCTGTTAGTATATGTTGATGATATAATTGTAACTGGAGATGATGAAAAAGAAAGAGTCTCTAAAACAGTGTTTGGCCAGAGAATTCGAGATAAAAGAGCTAGGGAGATTGAAGTACTTCTTAGGAATTGAAGTAGCCCACTCACGTCATGGTATTTTTATCTCACAACAGAAATATGTGATGGATCTTTTGAAGGAAACTGGGAAGCTCGCATGTAAACCTGCAAGTACCCCTATAGATCCCAATCATAAGCTTGGAGAAGCTAATGAAGATGCTGCTGTAGATAGGGAGATGTACCAGAGATTAGTTGGAAAATTTACTTATCTCTCACATACTAGACCTGACATAGCATATGCTGTGAGTGTGATAAGTCAATTTATGCATAATCCTAAAGAAGTACACCTACAGGTTGTCTACCGTGTACTACACTATTTGAAGGCTAATCCTGGGAGAGGTATCTTGTTTAAAAGAAATTCAAGGTTGGTACTAGAGGCATATACAGATGTTGATTATGTAGATTCAGTAACCGACAGAAGATCTACCTCAGGCTACTGTACTTTTCTAGGTGGTAATTTTGTAACTTGGAGGAGTAAAAAACAGAATGTGGTGGCAAGATCAAGTGCTGAAGCAGAGTTTAGGGCAATGGCTCAAGGAATTTGTGAACTACTATGATTAAAGATTATTTTAGAAGACTTGAAGATCAAATGGGATGGACCAATGAGACTTTACTGTGATAACAAATCTGCAATAAGCATTGCACACAATCCTGTGCAACATGACAGAATAAAACACATTGAAGTAGATCGGCACTTCATAAAGGAAAAACTAGACAGTGGATTGATT